CCAAACAGACCCCCCTACTCACCAGGGCCGACCCACCAAACAGACCCCCCTACTCACCAGGGCCGACCCACCAAACAGACCCCCCCTACTCACCAGGGCCGACCCACCAAACAGACTCCCCTACTCACCAGGGCCGACCCACCACAATACCCATCGTAATTTTCGAAACAGCTTTCATATGTAAATAAGGACTGTGGGGCGGCGGGTAAACAGCCTGTAGGGGGCGCCCTCCATCTCCTGTGGGAGGCTCCTACTCATCCCAAGCCAGGTGATGAATGCAGGTTTCTGGCTGGTCTCCGGTCATACGAGCGTGTGCTCAGAGCCTCGCCAAGCGATTAGAGATGCCATGGGCGGGGCTTCGGGGGGGCGACACCTGCACTGATGCGGCTTGGCATGCAGCAAAGAGAAAGCGGCGTGTGCAGAAACGCCAGGCAGACCGGAGCCAGCGTGACGTCACACGCGGGGACGGGCTACTCAGGCTGATTCACACATGCCAGAGCGCAGCGGGGCCCAGCAATGCCTGTGAAGTAACCCAACCCCCAGCAAAGTGGTCAAAGAAAATGACGGAAAAAGAAATATACCAAAGGTGAAACTTTTCATCATCTGCGAATGTGTCCCTTTCTTGGTATTCTGGAAACATCTTGACATCCACAGTAAAACCTCAAGGCGACGTCATAAATGCCAGGCGGATTACATGTGGCTTTGTCAGGGTGGTCCCACCCCCGCTACAGGGGTAATGGGGGGACAAACCCTGAAGCAGAGAGACGCAGCTCTCTGAGTGTCTGCACTAACCTGCTCATCTTTTGGGGCCCACTGATGTATAACGTGATTCCCGAGCTGCTCCCCTCGCGGGGGCCAAGCTGGGGGTAACTCAGTAGCCTTGGGATGCTGGGTCTGAGATTCAGCACTCCATAAACCTTCAGTGTCTCTGCCGATCGCCCAGTTATTCTGAGATTATCTCCGGCCAAAACAGAAGCTAATAAAACTGCTCAGTACAAAGACACGACACAGACGATACAGAAAGCAGATCTTTGCAGTGTTTACACTGCAGCAAATGAATTTACCTGCCTGCAGTCAGTGGAACTTTTTTAGTTTTCAGTGAAACGGTTGTGGGGGAGAGTAAGCCCTTCGGAGGGACAGGGGGTCCGGGGATGGGGGCCGCGTGGCGTCACCGGCACAGAGATGCTAAACTTAGCCTCCGCTAATCCTCATCCATGTCATGGCTGCCACTGGCCGCTCTACCGTACGTTCGTTTTGTTACACCTTTCCTCATCCATGTCATGGCTGCCACTGGCCGCTCTACTGTCCGTTCGTTTTGCTACACCTTTCCTCATCCATGCAGCTCCTGCCAGAGGGCCGCACACAATGGCGCTGAAACCCAGCTGGCGGGCAGCAGATCTCTAATCCCATCCTGGTACGAGGACGGCAGATATGAAGACAAAGGCCTGGGGACTGTGGTGGCTGGCTGCTCAGGCGGGGGGAGGAAAAGAGGGAAAAGTAAAGATTTATCTGGGGGGGGGAGGGGCTGTGACGGTGGGTGGCCTTCAGTAGTGACAGGGTGTGGGGGGGACGTCCTGCTGCAGCCGCGTCCAAACACAGCCTCTCACGCCTCCCTGTTCCACAGCCATGTCCATTCACACGCCTCCCTGTTCCACAGCCATGTCCATTCACACGCCTCCCTATTCCGGGTTCATGGACTTTCAGCGTGGGGGAG